CCCCAAAACCCCAAAACCCCAAAACCCCGTAACTACCAGATATCATAATTGGTAAGGAATTAGAGATCATCAATTTAATTATAAAAATTTACAAGTTTTTATTCAATGAGCGCTTAAAAGGACCCAAACTACATAACAATACTTGATGAAACTCAAAGTTCCTTTGAATCTGATAAAAAGCATGAAGATTGTAATATATTTTCGATGAAACAAGTCATTTATAATTAAGGAATTAATAGGGGAAGATTTAAACCAATTCTTTGGTTAGCAAATCTAGGACTGTTTATACTCTAAAATGCGTCAACTTAAGAATTTGTTTGAAAAGCAGTTTAGAACAGAAAAGATGTTAAAATAGCATACTTTTGCCATTGAAAGAATGAATCAATCAGATGATGACGATGGAGAGGGAATGAGAATTAAACCTTAGAATACGACAATTGATGCAATTAATGATTTTATGCTTTATAATAGATCTACTCAAAAATCCCCAAGTCCTGATAATAGTAGTTCTAAGAAATTCAATTATGAATATGAATTGTCATCAATAATGATAGATATTGTTACACAGTTTTCCAAGACTGTCACAGATCAATATCCTTACTTGCCATCAGTTATGACCGAGCTAAACAAAATAGAGGAGATATAAGAATATGATCCTGATGAGAAGGCCATATAAATTTCTCCTGTTAGATCAAAGAAGCTCGAGAAAAATTTGCAATAAAAAAGCCAAGACAACTAAAAACTTAAAGAAAAACTTAAAGAGTATGAGGAATTAACTAATAAAATGAGGAAAAATTATCATAAAGAGCTTACACATTACAAAGAATCTGGATAGTAATATATAATAAAGAAGGCGAAGAAAACAGACATCAGCTATTTAGATGATGAAGAAGAGGCAATTTAAATAAATGTAGAACTTTTTGATTTTCTAGATGGAATTGACGAGGAGATTTTGAAAATGATTAATGAAAGACTCCTTAAGATAAAGAATTAATATCAAGAGAAAATTAGAGATCACATCAAGTATTAGACTTAACTGCTCAAAAAGATTTATCTGTTTAATAAACTTTCTCCAAATGCATATTCATTGGTTAATTTAACTTTAGAGGAAATATTCAATGATCTCTCTAAAGTTGAATAAGATCCCAATAAGATTTGGAAATTTTTAGATCATGCATATGGAACTGATTATTTTTTAGCTGTTATTGAAAGAGTTTATGGAAAGAGGTTCGCAAAAGACTATGAGGCATTGTACACAGAAATAGACAAAGTAAAGTAAGAGGCGAAGTTTCATTTTGAAAAAGTTGCCAAATAGAGTGAGATGGAAATCAAAACACTAAGAAGATTATTAGATGAGAGAGCTTAAGAACTCACCTAGCTTAAAGAAAGATAAATCCTAGAACTGGAAAAAGCCAAAAAGGAAGCATATTTTCATGCTGAGATAGAGTTTTAAGCAGCCGAAGCAAAATGTAATATTGAGTTGCTAATTATTAATATTTTTAGAGTTTTCAAAGTTTGATTCTTAAATGGTTGAGCTTTATAAGAAGCTTAGGGAACAAGAGGAATTAAATGAGAAATTTAATGAAATATTGATGAGAGAAAAACTAAAATAAGCTGTAAATTAAATTGAATATTGATAAAATTTTTAGTATTCCAAATGGATATTTCTCTCAAAGCTAAAAATCATTGGTTCTAAAGATGAAACAATAAGAGTTAAAACTATGGAAAGAATTTTCTAATTTGTTCGAGGTGAAACTAGTATGGAGGCTGATAGAATTAGAAAACAATTTTAATAGGAAATCGACTACTTGAATGAAGAAAATACTAATCTTGCAATTGAATTGAATGAAGTTAAAAGAAAATTATAGAATTTCACTGAAAAATCAAGCTATCTTTCCTAAACATTAGAGGACGTCCAGCAAGAAGCTCTAATGTATAAAGAGAGAGTTGAAAGTATGCTTGAGGAAAACAGAAAACTTTAATCAGAGGGTCAAATACTGAATAAAAATTTGGAAAATGCTAGAGGACTAATTGAAATGTTAGAGCGAGAAAAAGTCAGACTTGAGATAGAACTACAAAGATATACTAAGTAGGCTATGAAAAGTAACATTATTGAAGCTGAGTTGCATCAAAAGAAAGCTTTGCATTAGATTAGTGAATAGGGTGCTAATAAAATGAAAAGCATCTATGACAACAATATGAAAACAAAATAAACAATGACAAACCTGAGAGGTCTTGATAAAAATTTAGTATTTCAATAAACAGCAGAGGAAGAGAAAAATTAAAAAATGAGGAAAATCCCTGTAAAGCATATAGAAATCTAAACAGATGAGATTAAGATTGATGATTCAGGTCTTGATTTCGAAATAACTGCTGATTAGAAAGAGCTGCTGTCACACTTAAAATCTTCAGGATCTCTAAGAAGGTCTAATAGCAATAATTCTAAAGTCCTAGAGGTAATGAAAATTCTAAATGAAGGAGACAACAAAAGAATAAAGGTCATTGATCTAGATAAAATGGTTGATGCTGAGATTGATTGCTAGATGCTAGAGATTGATGATATCAATGCATTACTAAAAAGTCATAGTGTGTAATCATTGAAAAAGGTCAGAGAAAGTCTGTCTGTAAATGCTCATCAAGATCTTGATTAAGACAGAGATTCTGAGATTGATTTTGCATAGACACTCAAAAAGTCTAATTTTTCAAAAGTTAAATATGACAAAAGCCTAATAGATATTAAAATAAGGTAGATGAAAGATCGAGGTGTGTCTCCGATGGAAAATACATTGACAATGAATTTTACAAAAAAAGAGAAGCTATATCCTTCAAATTAGCCTGAAGTTTATTGTAGACTTTGGAATGATGTGGATCTTAAGAAGAGAAGAACTGCCTCAATGAAAGATAAACTAAATTGCCTCCGATAGTCACAGTGGAAAAGGATAATTTAGAAACCAGAAAAATAAGATTTAAGTAAGCAGCATTATCTGGCATAATACTTATTTAGGTAATTTGGTTAGAAGAGATCCAGTTACAGGTAAAACATTCATTAACATTGCAGAACTTAACAATATGAGGAAATAAAGTTTGCTGTCAACATATGAAGGAGATCCAAATATAGATATTTAATTTAACAGATAATCATCTTAGGCCTTACATAAAAGTCAAGTTATGGATAGGAAATATTCCAGACATTATAGGCAAATTAATATGACATTTTTAAATGAATAGAATTCTAGAGCTCCTTAATGTAAGATTTACATATTCATGATTATATTTAGTGGACGAATCCTTGAAAAACATTATGAGTAGGAACTAACTACAGAGTAAAACTGGAATCTCTGAAAATTTATCATTTAAGCAGCCAAAAAGACATGTCAAACAGCTCTCTTTTGGTATACAAAACAACTTTCAAACAAGAAATGACTCAATTCAATTGTCAAATACGACAGCATTAAAGAATGTATTTTGATTGTGATTGAAACTAACTAACAATCGCCAATATTAAATGATTTGATTAAACATTGATTTCATAATTATCATCAGTCTTATTTTTGTTTCTAACCTTTGAGGGGTTTTGGGGTTTTGGGGTTTTGGGGTTTTGGGG